GGGACACGGGCACAGCAGGGACACCTGGGGGCTGCATGGGGACAGCAGGGACACCCAGGGGCTGTGGGGGGGGACATTGAGTTCATCAGGGGTTGCTAGGGAAACAGGGGCACTCTGGAGTGGGGTGGAATGGGGAACCCCCAGGGACTGGCGTGCTGAGGGGGACAGGGACACGCAGGGATGGAGGTGGTGCTGGGGGTGTCCCTTTCTTGTCCCCCCCCTGAGCCCCTGGTGTCCCCCCTGTCCCCGCAGGCCGCGGGCTGAAGTCCCACGCCTACATCCACAGCGTGCAGCTGAGCCACCATGTGTTCCTCAACCTGCACACCCTCAAGTTCTACTGCCTGCCCGACAACTACGAGATCATCGACTCCTCCCTCGAGGACATCACGGTGCGGGGGCACCGGGGGGGGCAGCGTTGGGGTCTGGGGGGTCAGGTGTGGGTCCCCCCGTTCTGAGGGGTCCCTCTCCCCACAGTACGTGCTCAAGCCCACCTTCACAGCCCAGCACATCGCCCACCTGGACAAACAGGCCAAGCTGTCCCGGGCCTACGATGGCACCACGTACCTGCCTGGCATCGTGGGGCTCAACAACATCAAGGCCAATGACTACGCCAACGCCGTGCTGCAGGTCAGGGGGGGACAGGCTGCCTCGGGGGGGAAACACCCCAGAACCCCCCAAAACCCACTGGGGGGACTCGTGGGATTGAATCCCACCTTTCCCACAGGAGAGAGGCCCTGGGGGTGTACAGACTTTGTTTGGGGTGAACCCCCAGCAAAGCCCCACTCTGGGGTTCCCGGGGGAAATCCCACATCCTTTCCCACGGGCTTTACAACTTGGGGGTACGGGTTTTCTTTTGGCATGAAAGTCCTGCAATAGTCCAGCTCCAGATCCCTGCTCTGGGGGTTCTGAGGATGAATCCCACCTCTTTCCTCGCAGGCTTTACACACAGGGGGCTTGTTTTTGGGGTGAGAGCCCCCCGTAACCACTAAATCCCTGCTTGGGGATGAATCCCACCTCCTGCCCCATGGGCTCTACATCTGGTGGGGGTGTAGCCCTCAGAAGGCCTCCAAAACCCTCCCAGATCCTCTCCCTAGGGGTCCCAGGGATTGAATCCCCCCCTGCTGCCCCCCAGGCCCTGTCCAACGTGCCCCCCCTGCGGAATTACTTCCTGGAGGAGGAGAACTACCGGCACATCCAGCGCCCGCCCGGGGACATCATGTTCCTGCTGGTGCAGCGCTTCGGGGAGCTCATGAGGAAGCTCTGGAACCCCAGGAACTTCAAGGCTCACGTGTCCCCCCACGAGATGCTCCAGGCTGTGGTGCTCTGCAGCAAGAAGAACTTCCAGATCACCAAGCAGGGTGGGGTTGGGGGGGGCCAGGGCTGGGACTGGGGTGGGGGGCAGAGTGGGGTTTGAGAGGTCTGGGTTTGGGGAGCGGGGCTGGAATTTAGGGACAGTGCTGGGTCTGGGGAGGAATGAGGGGTTTGGGTGGCAGAGGTGGACCCAGGGAGCTCTGGATTTGGGGGTCTCTGCACTCAGGGTGCAGTGCTGGGCCTGAGGGACAGCACTGGATTTGAGAGGTAGTTCTGAACCTGGGATGCTCTGGATTTGGGGGGGCAGTGCTCGACCCGGGGCTTTCTGGATTTGGGAGCCAGGCTGGATTTGAGGAGCAGTGCTGAGTGGGGGCAGAGCAGGATCCAGGGTCAGCTGTGGCTCCAGCCCTGCCGTGTCCCCATTGCAGGGGACGGGGTGGAATTCCTGTCCTGGTTCCTGAACGCTCTGCACGCGGCGCTGGGCGGCACCAAGAGGAAGAAGAAGAGTGAGTGATGATGAGGGGAGATTTTGGGGGGCCCAGAAGGGGCCACTGCCCCCCTGGTCCCCACTGAGCCCCCCCTGTCCCCACAGCCATTGTCACCGACGTGTTCCAGGGCTCCATGCGCATCTTCACCAAGAAACTGCCACACCCTGACCTGGTGGGGACAAGGGGGGACAGGGGGGTTGGGGTCACACAGGGGGTGTTGGGGTACAGTGAGGGGGGTTGGGGTCACAGAGTGG